GAGTGGAGTTGTGTGTATAGTTATGAGCACATTATGCGTGTGTGCCGTCGTGGGGTGCGGCGAGGGCAAGAGAGTCCGTGCANAGGGACACATAAATAGAGGAATAAGGACGAGCTGTGTGCGTGCACGGCCCTCCCTCTCTCTCACTCAGTCCCTCACGCGGCCACCATCGCAGCGGCAGCCGCACACACAAGCAGAAAAAGCAGCGCAAGGGGGGAGGCGGAGTGCGATGCCGCGGTGCTGCTGCCGTCACTGTCGCCGGGCACCGCCTTCGCTGCATTCGTCGAGTTGGTGGTTTTCGCCGCTTGAGCAGTCGCCCCCGCTGCCGGCTGAGTGGCTTCTCTTCTCTCACCACTCGTTTCTGTTTCCTCTTGGGAAGCAGGCACTGCGGGCTGCTCCTTTTGTTCTGGCTGGCCAGCCTCGGTTGTCGCCACGGAACTCTCCGGCTGCGGCTGCGCTGCGGGGCTGCTGCCGCTGGCACCGCCAGTCGTAGTCGCGGTGTCCCTTGCCTCAGTGGCGGTGGACTCTGTTGCTGCTAGTTCCTTTGCAGTGCCCGCCGCTGCAATTGCGGCAGCAACCTCATGTTGGCTGTCTGGGTTCCATGCAGCATCGGAATCCGTGGTGTCTTTGGTTTCCTGCTCAGTGGGATTCCCACCCTGGCCGCCGGCAGCACCTTCGCGGCTTGCTGGTGGAGAGAGTTGCGTTGTTTTCCCCTCTCCTCCATCTGCTGTATTCTTTGTGGCATCCGGTAGAATTGTTGCTTCTCCGCTGCTCAGTTGCGTGCTGGCGCCCCGCTCACCACGGGGCTCCTGTGCCTGGAACTGCGAGAGACCATTTTTCGAGACTGCCGACGAAGCTGCTCCTTCTTGTGTTGTTTGTGTTCCCTCCGTGACTTGCGGTTGCGCTCTCTCTTGTGGCTCTGGCTGCAGGGTTACTTCTTCGCTGCCTGTCACGTTATTCAGCTGCCCGTCTTCCCCTGCACCGGGCTTTGGTCCACTGGCGTCAACTGACCCCAAATTCCCTTCGTGTGGGGGCGTCCCTGGCGCCGGTGCTGCTGGTCCCCCCGCGCCCCCCTGATCCCCTGAAGGTCCGCGCGTTTCCGGCGCTGAGTGCTCGCGGCTGCCCCCTGTTGCTCCCTGCCGACCCTCTTCTTCGGGGTCGGTGTGTCCGCTGCCGCCAGGGCCCGACGCCGCGCCGTCACTGTGGCCCGCCTTCCCTCCATGAGCACCGACGCCAACTTCAGCGTCCGTCGGCGAAGGAGAACTTCGCTCGTTTTGCGGCAGACCCATCTTCATAATCTTCCGAAGGGCCTCACCACTGCAGAACTTCCACCCCTGTCCCCCTGTTACGTTCAACAGCTCCTTTCCATCTTCATCGCACAGGTGGTCCCACGCCCAGCCCCCGCCGGCGGCGCAGCACAGCACGCAGAGGGCGCACACCAACAGCGCACGGCCAGCCATCGCCACTCACCCCACCGCAGCACACACACACACGCACAGACACACGCACGGAGTCTAGCGAGGGACAAAAATAACAGAGCAGGGTCAGCATGAGACAGACACACTTCAGCAGCCCGCAAAATGGGTGCACGCAACCAACACACACGCACAAACAGAGGAAGAGGGAATGATCGGGGCATTGCCGTCCCGTTAAGAGGAAAAAAGAAGCAGCAACGGCAGAATAAGGTTTTGTATACCACCCTCCGCATCCGCCTTCATGAGATTCCGCAGCGGCAAACGGCACACCGCAGCGAGGCCCAAGGGCCCCTTCCCTCCCGCCACACACACACACACACACAATCGGACAAAGTGGACGTGCCGGCGGCTCCCACCCCGCCCCTCCCGCGCCCCTTCGCAGCGCCCACGTCGTTTGCTCCCCGGCCGCGCGAAGTCCCCTCCCCGCGGGAGTGTCGCCGGACGCCACGCAGCCCCACGCGGCACTCACCCGCAGCCGCACCGACAAAAACTTCACCGACGGCAGCCGCCCCCTCCCCCACCGAAGCGCCTGCGGGCGCACGCATCACGCGGGACGCCGCGCACAGTGACGCTGCCTCCAGCAGGCGTCGCGCAGTTTTTCTTTCGTTTCTCTTGGTGCAGCGCGACTGCCTGCGCCTCCGTGGCGGCGACAGAAGAACCCTTCGCGGACGCAGTTGCCTCACGCACACACACGCACAAATGGGGGGCGAGGAGAAAAAGAGAGCCCCGCACACGCGCGAAGAGACACACGCCGCGCACGCACACACCGTCTCTTCTCTCCCGCGCGGCAGCCGCACGTCCCGTCACTCCCGCGCCACCGCA